AGAGAGGGGGGAGAGAGAGGGGGGAGAGAGAGGGGGGAGAGAGAGTCAGTATAACTGCGTTCATTGTCCTAAGAGATGGCAGTGACTTTGAGGAGAGAGTTCATTTAATTTAGAAGGGGCCTGATGTAGATTTATTTTGAGGATAGTTAAAGAAACATCATTTACAGGCAATAAAATACCTTCTGTTAGTTGCCAAAGAAGAGTTTAAACTGATTCTATATGGGAAATTATAAAAATACAACCAGTTACTGGAATTCATAAAGGGTATTAATTACTGGTTATGACTCTGAAACGTAGAGTACGTTGCAAGGAAAGTTAAACTGCTCTTACCTGCGCTACAGAAAGCATCAAGGAAGAAAGCAAAACTTGGAGAAAGCTTGAGAGAAAAGGAGAATAATGCAAAAAAAAAAAACCTTCTAAAAGGAGGGAGGTTCTGCTGTGCAACACAGCTCAACAGCAAAGGAAGAACTTTATTTTCTTGTATAAAGGAGTGTTGGTTTGTTCCCCTTTTTTCTATTTGCAGTTGTCCCCACTTCATTTTCTTCCTCTTTCTCAATCCTCTCTTCATTTGCCTACCCTCACTTGTTTTTGATGTAGGTTTGACTTTTAGAACAATGAATTCAAATTAAAATACCTGTATATAGTGTCCTGGAGAGTCACACCACATTTACTCATCACTCATTTTATAGCTTCTCAAAAAACAATTTAGCCTCAAGTGAGTTAAATGCAGTATTAGGAGTCTGGCTTTTGAAGCCAATCATTCATAAGCTCTTTAAGATGATGTCCCACAATACTGCCACTCGGAGTATGGAGTAGCTATTTTACTTGCCGAAAGGTAACTGCTTCTGCTTCAAAATTCAGTGAAGATCTTTACCCTTGACCAAATATAGCTAAGGAGCATAAGAACAGTCCCTTCCAGTGTTCCTGGCCTAAGTAATATACTTAAAACCATCTCTTAAGGGACTTCTTGCACAATAAGCTTGCTGAGAGTTGTACTACTCCCAGGTTTCAGGAGGATTTTACGGCTTTAGGTCAAAACCAAAGGGCTTTGCTTTTGACTCAAGATCTCAGTGCTATCACAGGCAACCAGCCCATATGATTCCTTTCATAAACTGATCAAGCTCACCTCCTGCTGGAGACACCTGCAAAGCCTCCATCTTGCAGGTCACGCCGTTCACTTGGTCTTGTGCACTCTCGTAATGTTTCACATGATTTAAAGGCTTGTACCACCAGATGGGTATTTTCAGGAAACCCTGAAAAGCAAACAAAAAGTACCTGCTAGCCTATGTGTTCTGACGCAGATAAACAAGGTTCAGCTGCCATCTCAGGAAGATGGAAGAGATTTGTTCAAGTCTGAGCTTTTGTAAAGGCACCTGTGTTCCACGTTAGCTCTTTTGACTTCCTACTTTTTTTTATATGGACCACTGAATGAAAGAAATTCAGCCTTGTGTCGCCCAAGATTACCATCCTGTTTTGCTGTCACAGCATCTGCCGTGACAGATGCAATGGAGTGATTTTATATTCTGGAGATGCGGACATAAACACGAACCTGACAGAAGAGGCTGTATTCATCTAAGTTCACCAATTACAAGGGTATTTTGCCACTTCAGCAGCTCTGCAGAGTTTTTCCTCACCTGCTCTGCACGGCCAGGAAAGGACACTTAAGTTGATGTCTCTTCCCTCTTCTGAGTAGAACAGACTGTATTTCTTTCACACGCAGGTCTATTATCACTCATTCCACTGTTGCAGTAAGCTCTTATCCTACAATTTTTTGAGAACAAGGCTATCAAAAGTATCCTAGCTTGTCCTGTACGAAGCTTTATTCACCATAAATTTGCAGAGAGCTGCACTGCCTGCTGGTTCTTGCAAAGTGTTTTAACCTTTTGTTTTGACTTACAATGCCCTATATCACTTGAGGTTTGCTAGCACAGAGCCCTTCTAGTTGTATGGTCATTGCTGTCAAGACAGCCTCCAAGAAGGGCCCTTCATTTTCAAATATGATCCTCAGTAAAAAACCTAAAAGGCAAACAGCTAAGTTCCTCTATTTTTACTACTTTGTGAGGACATAAAAGTATAAGGGCTGTATCTTCAGGAGGACTCCTACTTTTGTGCACAGGTTATTGCTCATCTTGCTTACCAGAAATACTGATTTCCTCCATATTTGTAACCGTAACACGTTCTAAGACGCATTTAGGCTACAAAGCTGCAACAGGCAAGACTTCTGCTACAGAAGTCAAAAGAATAATAAATATAGAGAGATTATTTATAATATTCTTATATCATAAATGTTAAACCACGAAATTATAAAACTACAAAGCTTTATTCATTATTTCTGATTAAAAATATTTCAGTTGAAAAATTCTGAAATAAGCAAGAGAAGAAAAAAAAAAAAAAAAACACTATCGTATTCAAGTCTCCAGAAAAGTCAATTGATTGAAGAACATAAGCAACCCCCATAATTTTACCTTTGGTGGAAGCTTTCCTTCGGTTACAACCAAAGTATCTCCTCTGCAAACATTAAGCTCCTTCAGAGTGGCATTCTAGAGAAAGAGAAAGCACAGTTTGTGTTTTGTTTCCTGAACCATGAAGGGTTTTCTTATGCCATGCATATCGAAAGTCCAAGGTGTTTTGCTTTTCCACAGAAGAGAACAAAAACATCCATCCAGCCCCCACCACTTGGAGATAGCTTTGCAACAGTGCACAAATATTCCATCCACAGAAGTCTGCACTGCATGCATCCTTCTGCAACATCCCAATGAGTCATCTATTTCCTTTGCACCTCCATATTTTACCGATTAATACCTTGTGCTTAGCACTGGTAGATCTGAACGTCTTTAATGTATGCTAAGCTTAAACTTTAGGAAAAACTACGTGGACATGGCTTATTAATAGTCCCTGAAAATAAGAGGCAGGTGCTTAAGAGTTATTTTTTAACCACAGGTACACTAACACTGTCTTCATAAGGCCTTGCGGAAATAGCACAGTGTGCCTAGTAACGTATCACCCACAAAAACCATCACAGATTTGCTTTATGGGAGTTCTTTTCAGGGAAAGTCTCTTAAAAAAAAAAAAAAAAAAAAAGAACAAACTACATATTGTGTAATTCAGGTCAAAAAGAGAGTCCTCTTACTTCCTGACTTAATGCTTCCCCTGCTTCGTAGCACCAGTCAAGCCTTCTCAAATGCCAGTTGTCACCTATCAAAAACAAGTAAGTACATAAAAACACAAACCTAAACAGAGGGAAAACTATTAGCCAACAAGGTTGCTACAAAAAAAAAAACCAACCAAACAAAAAAAATTCTTAGTAAGGGTTAACAGCCTACCCATTTTTGCAACTGTGACACAATTAGAGACTGAAAAGAAACTGAGTTTTAAAGAATGAACAGGTAGCTTCAGGTTCCTTCCCCGGGCCCTAGAAACACATTTTGCCTCCTGGGAATGGCCTTCTCATTTTTGTAAATGTCTCTCTGTTTTTATGAACTCTCTTCCTCAGCTACCTAATTTCCCTGGTTCAGGAGGAAACCAAAGGAAGTGAAATGACAACATGTAGCTAAAAACATAACTGCAGAAGAAAGAAAATTAAAAAGTTGAGAGGGAAAAAGTTGGGGAGTTGTGGAAATGCTGGGTGTGAATTGTTGATGAATTTCCCTTGTCAATATACAATTCAAATTGATGAAAAGTGCCTCAAAATGATACTGTAAGGATAATAAAAATATAATATTATTAATAATAAGGATATATAACAATTAAAAAATATACTGTAAGGAAGAAACTCATTTCCCGCCCCCCACCTTCTGTCTACTTTCTACATTTCCGGTCGACTTCACATTAGAGGAAAAAAAATGACACAGTTCAGAAACTAAAATACTTTAAAATTAGCATCTATATGAAGCATTATGTACAGGAGGAATGAACTTAATTACATATTTTTTGTTTGATCAAAAGTAAGAGATGAAAATACACTTCAAAAATTCTCTCTAGGGTCCAAAATTTGACTTTCATAACTAAAAGCCCTAAGCCCAAATGGCATCTCATCAATGAATTCTGATGCGGAAAAAGAGTACCTGGCAGCCTTTTTAAACTACAACTTCAAAATCCACTGAACTCTGACATTTCTTCGAATGCGAGCAGTCAGATCACGAATCTCTGTGCAAGGCCAAATTCAACTTTTCAAAAATGGTAACATAAAACAAGTAATAAAAACAGAACCATTGTTTCTTGGCAGTGAACCTATACCACAAGGAAATGAAAAAGGTTAAGTTTCTATTTTCAAGACATTATTGACTACTCTGCTCATATGTACACAAGAGCACAATATTTAATTTTCACTTGAGCTGCTCAATCTGTATTATCATAATAATATTTTTCAGGTGAACTTTTACGTTTCAAAGAGCGTGGCCAAGTTTGCAGCCTTCACCCCACAGTAACAGAGAATTGAATATTCAATAAAGGTTAAGTTAGACCTAAAGCTGGAAAACACAGTGACACTCCAGGTTTTTCTCTCTTCCTTCGCAGCGGCATCAACAGAAAGTGATGCTGAGCCAGGAAATTCACGTCATGTCAGTGCTATCTACATCTCTTCCTTAACCCTCATTTAAAAGTTTAATATTTAGAACTACTACCACCCAGACTCCTAAATAATGGCCAAACTGGAATCTCTCACTGATTAACTTGCTTTCACCAAGCAACGTAAGAACATTTTGATTTTTTTCAATTAACCTCATGCAATGCACCCCACTGCAACACACAAATGTTGTCCAAACAGCCGGATACCTCCACCTGCACCTGCACTCAAGCAAACAGCCCAGGAACTGTGAACTTGGCCAAATTTAGATTAAATATAAAGCCTGAAACTGATGTTTCAAGAGCTACCGCACAGCCAGCCTTTATCAGAGCAAAACTGCAAGTTTAAATTTCTTTCTTCTGCCCCTCTCAGATTACAATGACACATAAATCACTGTAATAAAGTAAGGATTTTTAAGTTTTGGGTTAGCAAGAGGGCTCTCAGAAAACTGGAAATCCCTTAAAGAGAACTCTTTCAATAACAACGTAACACAACTAACCTGATAATCCAGATTTTTCCAGCATTAACTTTAGACACTGAAAGAGAAATATATGATGAGGCTTATCTCAATGCACAGGTTAGGAAATAAAGTTTTCAGCAAATCTCACTAGATTTTTCTAGCGTATATGAACTGAGTTGCTGATTCCTGGTGAATTCCTAGAAACAATATAATTGCGTAGACAGAGTATACTTGAATTACACACTACCTCCTTGAAGCATGAAATTGTTTTCAGGTAGGAAATTTACTACTACAGGTGAATCAAGTGAGCTTTCATAAACTGTTAAAAATGAACAAAAAAGACCTGTGCTGTCAATGTGTTCCTTTACTGAAGCAAATTCTATTGAAAGAGTTTGAAAATGCCAGGAGCCTACCAAAAAAAAAAAAACCCAAAACAAAACAAAAAACGCACTTTTTGAATATACACCCTTAAAGACACCTCACTATTCTAAAATATTGCTTTCTGTCTCAACCTAGCCATAGCTGAAAGCTGTCTAGTCCTCTTCAAGCAATGCTGTCAGACCAACCCCAGCTTGCAGATTAATTGCACAGTAAGACTGACAAGCATACATATTCACTCCCATATAACAAAATTCAATTGTGGCAGGCTCTGCCACGATTGTACGTTGTTTCGAGGATTGCTATTTATAAAAGGAGCGGCTAGCCATACATGCAACAGCTGGACTAGGTTCCCTCAAGGAAACAAGGAAGGATGTCTACTTGCTGCTTGCTGAAAGATCAAGGCATTCTTCCCCGTTGGCTTTTAGAGGTGAAATACTTCCTTTGTTTCAGTGTTACCTGGTGATCTGACCAATACATGATACGAGGCAAAGTACTCCAGGAGCAGAATTGGCCTAGGCACCACAAACCCTTTTAAGAGCATCTGGACTTACCTCTCTGACAGAGGCAGTCTCTTCCACAACTATCTCCATCTCAGGGCTTGTATGTTGGTCACTCTCAACAATAAAATATAAGAAGAGCTAAAAATGTAAGCATAAGTTATCAGAATGTATATTTAAGGATGGAAATACTGTGAAATAATATTCCCTGATGCATGCATATACCAGCTACTGCATGTCTGCTATCAGTCAAAAACCACTGGAACTGCTTTTAGCTAAATCAAATGATCTAAGCAGTAAAGACAGAGGAGTTCACGCAGTTGAGTTATGGCTATCAGTTGAGCTTCATTAACCAAGTGTCCATGTCCTTGGCCTGCACAAATGAGAACTAAAACCTGCTACCTTAAGCCATATTTTGTCATAGTTCTACATCATCAGGTTAACAGTGGGAGAAAAAAAAAAAA